ACATTCTCTAGGTCATCCTGAAATGACAGCATGAATGTAAGACAGGAGGGCAGCTGTGCTCACCCCCAGCTCCCAGACGTCCCCCACACTCCCCACCTCGAGGCACGGAGCACAGCCCTCCCCAGGGAACCAGCACTCACTGTCCTCGTCCTCCTCCTGACTGCAGCTCTCCTCCAGGCCATCAGGAAGTTCTTCCTCCGCTTCATCCTGGGGATGGCTTGGCTCCAGCAGCGACTGCTCAGCAGTGACACTGGGACAAAGGACATCACATCAGAAGGAGTAGCATGTGCTTTCTGGGGCCAAAAGACCCCCAAGCCCATGAGGCAGCATGAGATAATGTGGGCAGGGGAGTGACAGCACTGCCCTCCCCGGTGATGATGTACAAGCACTCATCCCAAGCTAGCAAGATAGAGAGGCCCCAGGGCACCCTGAGAGGGAACATTTTCCAGAGCAGCCAGAAAGAAAGAGGCACAAGGCCACCCTCTCCCAGCAGGAGAGCAGGAGCAGGAGCTCTGTGTCCTTGCGCCCTCCCTGTCCTGCATCAGCTCCGCCCTCCTTTAGGAACCCATGTCTCTGCCCAGGAAAGCCTTGTTGGACCTGGCTCGACAGCAAGCTTCACCCAACATACGTGCAGAGCCTGCCGCAGCAGACAGGGCCCTGTGACTGTGCGGGGAGTGAGCTAGAAATGCCACACAGCAATTCCACGCCGTGGCTGAAGGAGAAGGTGGAAGGGCTCGGAGCCACCCCGAATGCCTGCATCAAGCTGGGGACGGCAGGAAGGCTCCCCCTGCACCAGGATGCCACAGATGGGTTTTGCTCAGGGACACAGCCCATGGTTATCCTTACGGCCACCCCCATAGTGCCCACAGTGCATCCTCTCCCAACACACATAGATGCAAGAGCCAGCCCAGCCCATCCTGCCACAGCCTCCCTCCTCCTCCTGGCTCTACTTACTCAAGCTTTCCCGGGAGCACAGCCTGGACCCATTTCTCCTCTTTCTCCAGCTGGATGGAGGACATCTGAGTTGCCACTTCGGAGACGGCAGCGAGGTGCGGAGGCTCTGCTCTCGCCACCCGGTCCCCGCCGCACGGGCTCATCATGCTCACAAACTGGCAGTCGGTGCTGCAGTCAGGAGAGCGAGCGCGCGAGGCCAAGAGATGGACGCTGATACGCTTAGTGCAGACGACAGCACCATCGGTGCCTATAAGGCTCGAGTTACCGTTAAGGCGACGGTTACCCAGCTCCAAGTTCAGGGGAGCGATGGTTTCTTTTGGGGTGAGCTGTGCTATGATGTGCTGCCCCCACCTGCTGTTCCAGTTGGACAGGCTGCCCACGTCCGTAAGGCCAGAGCTTTTGACTTCGCGTCCAAAGCCGTTGCATGTGGCAGTCTGTTCGGCCAGCTGCTGCACAGCCTCCGTGAGGCTGATCTCCGGCTCCTTCTCTTTTAAGCTGTGCACTCTCCTCTCAGCATCCTCACGCAAGCACCGGTCCTTTCTGAGGATCGCACTGCTGGGCACAAGGGTCAGGGAGGGGACCGCAGTTTGCTCCAACACAAGGTCGTTGCTTTTCACGGCTCCGTTGACCAGGCTGCCAGGGGAGCTCTCTTCATCGTCCCCGGAGTGGGGCCACGAGGCAGCGGGGAAGCTGTGGGTGTTTTTCACCTTCTTGATCTCCAGTGACTGCAGTAAAGGCACTTTAGCACTGCTTGGCCGTAGGAAGGAGTTGTTATTGAGCACTGGTCTATAGGAGCTGGAAGCCTGCCGACCTGAGCTGAGGGCAGAGCCTTTGACCCCAGTCCCAGAGTGCTCCTCCGCCAGCGCAGGCAGCAGGCAGGGCTCCATGAGCAAGGAAGACATCACCCTTCCCGTGGCAGGGCTGGTGTCCCGAGGGCTTCGGAAAGGAAACCTGTAGGGCTTGGGTCTGAGGCAGGAGCGTCGGTAGAGCAGAGCGCTCCCGCCCAGGTCCAGGCAGGGCTGGGCCAAGGGCAGGCTTGTGAGGGCGTCTTCACCAGGGTGTGTGTGGCATAGTGACGGTGGGCACAAGGAGCAGGATTGCTGCAAAGGGATCCCTGAGGGCAGCAGGCTGCGATCCTGGAAAGCACTCACATACTTCTTCTCTAAATTCCAGATGGTTTTCGCCTGCTGCTGAGCGAGGTGCCAGGCCCGGCGCCGCTGAGCTCTCCCTGCCAGAAGGGTGCCTGACTCAAGCCCGACACTCTTCTCCTGTTTGGGGCCCAGATTAGCGCGTTCTGGTCCTGCAGAGGCCATGTGGAGCCATAGCACATGAGACACGAGCGAGTCAGTCATCTACAGCAGCATCTTTGCTGGCCTGAAACAAGACGACAGCATGAAAAGCACTGTTAGCCCAGCAGGGCAAAGCATCCAGCCCAGTACCCCAGGAGGGGAGCAGGGCAAGCTGCTTTCCCTGCAGGATGAAAAACCACGTCTCAATCTGCTGAGCTCCCGAGAGTCTCCTGGGACCAAGTCAAAGGAAGAGCTGGCGTCTCACATGAAACCAGGGGATGTGAAGGACAACTTAGGGACGGCCCTGGGTAAAGTGCCATCCGCAGGAAAGCTTGTACCCTGCAAACACGCAGGGGTGCCTGGCTGCCAGCCAGGGCCACAGGGCAGCAGCCCCAGCACAGCAGCCCTGGCTGCAAGGAGAGACCACCTGCCCACCTACCTTGGACCCGGCACGGCAGCCAGAGCCCTCTCCCATGGGTCTGCATCTCCAGACTACACCATGTGCTCCACTACCAGCTCTCCCGACTCCACCGCAAGCCCCAGAACATCTGCTTCTTTTTCTTCTCCCCACTCCTTAAAGCTTCAGCTCCCAAGGTCACACAACTAGGCGAGAACCTCAGCCCTTGCTTTTAAAAGGAACACATTTCTCACTTTTGTAACCCCATGGAAAAGCTCAGTGAGGGCTGAGGGCATCCTAAAAAGCTCAGGACTGAGAAGGCAGCAAGGAGCAAACGCAGGGCTGTTCTAACATCAACACCTCAGTTTCCAGCAGAGACTGGCAGTACCGCACACACACATTCCTCCCCATGGCAGTCCTACAGAAAAGACTCTTGCAAGGAGCAGCTGGCAGACCACAGAGCTACAGAAGTAGGTGTCCTGAATCCTCCTAAAATTAACTATTGCACCATGCCTGTAAAATCCTCTTGCCTGGGGAGAAGGGAAAGACAAACCATGCGCCAGGTATTTGTCTTGCTTTAACACATGCCTGGAGGGCCCCTAGATACAGCCGCGATAGGAATTTGTATCCCAAGCAGGCTGGCTGGCTGGCTTGCTCTTCCACCTTCCAGCTCTCACAAGCTTGCACATTTAAAAAAAAGTATGAAAAGAAGGGTAAGCAGAGCATCAACCATCACCCTCTTAGTTTTCTTGCAATACACATACACACTCCTTTCTCACTTGAAAATCAAGCCTTGGCTGCAGTAGTTAGCATAACTAGAAGACCCCGGGGTTGCTCCGTAGCACCATGACAGTGGCTCACGCCCACCACAGGGCTGGGTCAGACAGACCTACACCCCGCACACCTACACCCACCAGGCCTTCTCAACCTGTGAATCAGGTCCTAGTCTCTAGCGCACATCAGGTCAGCAGCATCCCAGCCAGAGGCTGTATGAGGTGCGAATGTCCCACGCAAGATCCCAGAGGAGCCATACATCCTCAAGGAGAGCTGCTGCCCTGCCATGCTCTGCTAGGAAGTATGGAAGGGGTCAGGTCCGCTCCATGCCCATAGCTGCACTGCTCGTTAGCGCTTGTACAGTCACGCTGAACTCTCCCGATGAGGACGGGGCAGCTGCATCCCTCTGCGAGCTGCAGCCCAGAGGGGCTCCGAGGCCCGGGGAAGGGAATCCCATGCGCCATACACAACTGAGCTGTACCGCACTCTCCGATTGCTACCCGATCCGTGCCCAGCAGCAAACCTGGCCATGTTGTGACATTCACAGCGATTAGCACAGAGCGAAGAGGCTGCGGCTCAGATGCCGCCACCTGCCCGGCTCAAATTTCCCCCAGTAAACAAGCGAGAGAAGCTCGGCTTCCGCACGCCATCCCTCGAGATGCACCCAGGTCGCAAGCGTGCTCCAACCACAAAGCGACCCTAGCACACCAGCGAACGTAGATGTGAAAAAGCAAAATAAAAATACAAGGAGTGAATGAAAGCGTCCCCGATGTCCCTGCCTAGAGGGGACTGTCACTGCAGCATCACCGCACGCGCGCTGCCAGCTTGGCCACCTCCCACGCTCTCACCCTGTGAGAGCTGTGAATGACTTTGCAAAACCAGCCTGCAGTGAAAGTCACCCGTGCCTCGTCTCCACCCAGCTTTACAGCTATCAGTGGATCATCCTGCTATAAAAATAAAAGTAATTTGGCCTAATGAAGCTGTAACAAGGGACGTGAATCCTACAGCCGGCTTAGACGCGGGTGTGAGTATGCCAGCAGAAGCCCTGCGTGACCCCGCTCTGGAGTAAGTGACAATGGCGGCACAGATGCGACCAGCACAGGCATGGGGGCACCGCCCGCAGCCGC